TATATAATATTATGTATTAGATAAATAAAACATATATTGTAATTTATATAAAGATTATGTATTATATATAAAACACGTATTTATTTTATATAATATATATATTAAATATATATAATAGGAAATATCATATATCTAACATATATAATATGATATCCATACTATTAAATATATAAAATAGGAAATATCTATATTATATTATAAAGCAATTGATAAAAACTTTTAAAAATCATTTATTATGCATGAAGTATTGTGTATTAATGCATATTACTTAAAATTTAAGATTACAAGTAAATTGTAAGTAAGTACAACTTATTAAAGTTTCATGTTTGAATTCATATAACTAACTGCTGATATACATAATCAAATACATGATAAACATCTCATTTTGAATATAAAAAACCTAAAATATAATTAGAATAACCATTGAGTTCTAACAGAATTATTATCTTTATAAAATTTTATTGTTAGGTCAAAAATAAATTACTTAACTAAATCGTAAAAAAACATTATCTTTCTCAAAACCACATAAATCGTATTATATCAATAGAGACAAAAAAATAAAAACGAAACATTAAAATGAAGATATATCTCGCTGCATTATGCGAGTACTCTTCTAGTCATATATAAAGCATTTGACAAAAACTCTTAAAAACCATTTTTATGCATAAAGTACTATTTATTGATGCATATTACTTAAAATTCAAGATTACAAGTAGATTGTGCATAACTACAACTTATTAAAGCTTTATGTTTGAATTCGTGTAACTAACTGCAGATAAACATAATCAAATACATGATAAACATTTCATTTTAATTATAATAAATCTAAAATATAATTAATATAATCATTGAGTTCTAACAGAATACTTTGTTATTATCTTTATAAAAAATTATATTATTATAACAAAAACATATTGTTTCGTTTAAACTTAAAAAATTATATTATTAAACCAAAATTCATATTATGTTATTTTTTCAAAATTTTATGTTATATTCAAATTTATATTTTATTCAAAAGTAAAAACATTATTGCTTTCTTAAAACCACATAAAATCGTATTCTGACATCGATAGAGATAAGAATAAAACAAAACATTAACATCAATATATATCTCGTTGCATTGCGCGAGTACTTTTCTAGTATATATATATATACATTTGATATATTATACAATAATATCTAATATTATATGCATAATATCTTTTATATTTACAATATACAATATTAAATATAATATTTGTGATTTACTTTTGATTTAATAAATGATAATTTATGTATTTCCTCGCATTAAATGCTAATGTTACTATGATTAGAAAGATACTCGCGTAACGCAGCGAGATACATCTTTATTTTAATATTTAATTTTATTCTTTATCTCAGTCGATTTATAATATGTTTTATGTGATTTTGAAAAAACGATGATGTTTTTATTTTTCAATAAAATATACATTTGAAGATATCATAAAATTTGACAAAAGTATATCGATTTTAGTATCAAATTAACTATTTAAAATTTCTCATTTTTTGTGTAATTTTTTAATTCAAATTTTTTAGTATAACTTAATTTAGGTTCAATAACGAAGTAATTTATATTTGGTTTAATAATATAATTTTCTTATAAAGATAATAATTAATTATTTTGTTAGAACTTGATGATTATCCTAATTATATTTTAGATTTTTTAGATTCTAAAATAAGATGTTTATCATTTATTTAATTATGTTTATCCGTAGTTAGTTACACGAATTCAAACATGAAGATTTAATAAATTGTATTTTATGCATAATTTTTTTCTTATAAAGATAATAATTAATTATTTTGTTAGAACTTGATAATTATCCTAATTATATTTTAGATTTTTTAGATTTTAAAATGAGATGTTTATCCTCTATTTGATTATGTTTATCCGTAGTTAGTTACACGAATTCAAACATGAAGCTTTAATAAGTTGTACTTATGCATAATTACTTGTAATCTTGAATTTTAAGTAATATGCATCAATATACAGTACTGCATGCATAAAAAATGGTTTTTAAGAGTTTTTTATCAAATGCTTTATAATATAGTATAGATTTATAATTTAAGAAAAAACAAAATTCAAAAAAAAGATTTGGTTATTTATCATTATTTATTTATTAATTTATTTATTTTATTTTTTGATTAACCTGAATATCCAACTCATTATGCAAGCCGACTAATCTCAGGGCGACTACCTGCTTTGTAGATAGCCCGAAGTCACCGCATTTGAATCTCTGCGGCCACAAAGGAATTTTTATTCCTTCTTGGATTTGAACCTGAGACCTCCTGGTACTTTTGACATTTAAAGTCAAGTTCAAACCAATCAGGCACCACCATTGTCGTTTATTTATTTTCCATTTATAAGCTACATTCTCTAAACTTGACCAACAAACACATTCCACTTCATTTGATGTATTACATTTCATTTTATGTAAACCAAACATATGGTCAAACATGATAACATTTCATTCAAATTATTTCAAATTCTAATTATTTGACAGATTTCATTCAATTCAAAAAACATTATGCGAATCAAACACCCTATAAGCCTTGAGTCATCTTTGTTTTTAAAATTGCCTATTAATTGCTTCTGAAGTCTGATTCAGTCATACATTCTCCTTTTCACATTGTTTTAAAAAAATTAAGAGCTTAAAAGCTTCCACTCAATATTAAGTGGAAAAGAAAACCCTTTAACACCTCTTGATTTCACAAAAGGTGTCCGCCTTCGAGACCTTTCTCTCTCATCTTCGCGTTTATTTAAATGATTCATTTGAATTTAATTAAAATAAATTGATTCAGATTTTAAATTTCAAACGTTTGTCTGTTCACAAAAACAAACAGTATGACTGATTCATGTTTCAGACTTCAGCACCATCTCTTATAAATCAAAAGTGAAATCAAACTTCAGACTTCAACACATCTTTAAAAATAAACGCCACATTGGTATCATTTAAGAGTAAGAGTTTTCGTGAGAGTGTGAAAGCACTTTAACTTATTTAGATAAGTTGAGTTTTTAATCTAATGGTTAAAAACCCGCATACCTTTCAACTACCTTCAATTGACAACTACAAATAACACAAACCTTCATCTACCAATACCCGTTTTCATATTCACCTTTATTTTCACTTTTATACGGATTTTTACATACCTTCAATCACTTTCACTTATATAAACTATAAGAGTACTCGCGCAATGCAACGAGACATATCTCGATTTTAATGTTTTATTTTATTATTTGTCTATGTCAATGTTATAATACAATTTTATGTGTTTTTAAGAAAACAATAATGATTTTATCTTTGAATAAAATATAAATTTGAAGATATCATAAAAATTTAAAAAAAAATATTAATGTTAATATCAAATCAACTATTTAAAAGTTCTCATTTTTTATGTAATTTCTTTAATTTATTTTTTTTATTATAATTTAATTTAAGTTTAATAACAAAATAATTTATTTTTGATTTAATAATATAACATTTTATAAAGATAATAATTAAGTATTCTGTTAAAACTCAATTATTATCCAAATTATATTTTAGATTTTTTATATTTAAAATTAGATGTTTATCTTGTATTTGATTATGTTTATCTGCAGTTAGTTACATGAATTCAGATATGAAACTTTAATAAGTTGTAGTTACGCACAATCTACTTGCAATCTTGAGTTTTAAGTAATATGCATTAATAAACAGTACTTTATGCATAAAAAATTATTTTTAAGAGTTTTTGTCAAATGCTTTATAATATAGATTTGTTAAAATTTCAATTATGGTGATAAAAATAGGAAAATGAAGTCATATGAGGTAAAAAATACCAAAAAAAAAATTCTCATGAAAATCCAACTCTACTTAGGGGTCGTTTACTAAACACTTACCTTGGCAGACACTTATTGGTTCAATTACCTTATTTGACTAACATAACAAGGATAAAAAATCTTACTCGGTAAAAGGGAAGACAAAGTTCGAGAATCTTACCGGGTGTAAGTGAGGGTGACGACTCTTACCCGGTAAACTCATATCAAGTTATAAACGCTTACCATTAATCCATTTCGATGACGGAGAATGTTACCCCATAAGATAAACGAAAGTAGTGACTTTTGTCGGCAAACGTTTACCTGATAAGTACTTACCGGGTAATTTTCCTCACCGGATGAACATGGCAAGGGACAATAATTTTACCCGGTAAAAGCGATGATAAGGATGGAGAGTTTTACTGGGTAAGTAAATGTGATGACTCTTACCCGGGTAAATGCTTACCAGGTAAATTGTTGTATAAGATACATTTTGATGTATTACAATCTTACACAATAAATAAATTATAGTGTTGACTCCTAATATTAAACACTTACCGGGTAAGCATTTAGATAAACGATCCCTTAATGTGAAAGAGTTGGGTTTCAGTGATAATAAGAGTTATGGTGAAAATACGAGAACAGAAAACTTATGTACATTTGTATACCCTCATCAACATTCAACCACCTTATTTAACTATTTTTATTATCATGACTGAAACTTTAACAAATTCATGCATGTGAAATAGATTAATGTATCTATAAGTTCGTTAAATTGAATTAAAAGTGAAGACAAATTTGAAGATAAATGTAGTTGAATACACTAAAACTAGTTTTTAACATTTTGTAAGACCTTATTACATACAATCATACGAAATCCCAACCAACCCCTAAGGATTTCAAAATCATATGTTTGAAGAATTTCAATTAAATCTAAAATTTTCAAATCCGAACAATCCAACAAATCAAATATGAAATTGTTATAGATTTAAAATACAAATCTTCCGAATTTATTTCATTCCTACAAATCAAACGGGAGCTAAATTTTTATGTTACAGAAAATTGTAAAACAAAATTAAGAAGTGTATGCAAGAAAGAGGGTCGATTAAAATCGATGCACCGAATGCACCGAGCTTTGTTCTCTTTCTCTCTCTATATATATACGCTTGCAAACAGCCCACAAAATTTCACCCCCCTTTTGCTTTCACAGTTATATATCTTGTACTCTCAGAAAATCCCCGATTTTCCCTCGCTCTGAATTCGAAACCCTAGCTTTTGATCGTCAAATCAATTAGCAAATCGTCTGATTCACTGCTATTTCATCATGATTCCGTTGGCGCAAAGATTCTCAACTGAAATTCGGCTGTTGTTCGAGAGCTTGAACGATTCCAATTTCGACTCCGTTCTTCGCGAACTCTCTCAGGTATATTATCAATTTTCTTTTCTTAAAAGCTTAAAGGATGAAATTTTCTCCATATCTTTTTGTTTTCTCTCGAGCGATCTACTTGTAAGTTAAAACCCTAATTGTTCCACATGACTGTAAGTGGAACGAATATAATGCGTGCTAGAAATGAGGTTGCTTGGAAAGTTACTAGCTCGGTTTATATATTTTGCTTGTTTGGTTTTATTTGGTATTTTGGGAGTTTGATGTAGCAGTCGATGGGTAACTGAATTACATTTGGAATGGGGGATTTGGATATTAAACGCCTTTGTTAGGATGGATGATCCACTCGTGTTCAATTTGGTAATTTTGTTGACCTCAAGGTTTATGTGTTCATCAAACTGCGACCCACGAATGAGGCTCACCTTGGACTTTGGACCTTAAGTAAAGGCGCTTGTCTTTGCTCCACTAACACTCAGAAGAAAGCCAGTCTGATTACATGCTGTGTATATAACATCTGTTACGAGGACGGTAAAGGGATTGTACGCAATTGCATCACCATAGTAGTTATGGCATGTGGTGCAAGCAGAGTTGTCAACCCAAAAAAGAGCCATGGTGTACGTTTTACATAAAACCACTAGTATAAATATGAAAACCCAAACCACATTCAGTTATGTTATATCCATTTCTGTAAGTGACAAACTTTGACAACCCTTAGTAAATAGATCCATTAAAAGAACAATGTGTGTGCATGTATATATGTACATATATAGAGACACACATGTTATACACTCACACACGGGAGCATAGAAAAATCAAATATTTTTATTAATAAAAAAAATAAATATTAGTTTTTTTGAAAATAAGAAAAACAACGATATGATATTATATTGATAAAACCACGACTTTTACAAGATTCAACAGTGATCTCAACGAATTTTCATTTTCTAAAACTTATCCGTGAATTTCATCTCGAATATTATACCGTGATCCGAAACCCTAACTAGAAACAACTATTAACATTATTCTTATTTGACATAGATGACTAATCACCGGTCGTTTTTGTCTTTGATAAATATTTATACATGATTATTGATTAGAAGTTAGATTAATCAACCATTTATACACATAAAAAGCAAAAATAAATTTAGATAACTGCAATTTTAAGTAATTCAACAAATCACTAGATTGCAATTGGAAAGAAATTCACAAAGTTCCAAATTCTAGTAATGTGGCCAAGGACTTGGGGTAGGTTTCTTGTGGAGAAAAGACTTACTAGTGACCATTTTGGGATTTGAGCTTACATATATGATATATCTATTTCTTAAAAAAATGAAGTTTGTAGGGGGGTGCATATGCTCTCCCTGGCTCTAACGTAGCTCCGCCAGTGCACTCACATGTACAAGAAGTGACCTTCGTGTGTCATGGTTCTTTGGAATTCTAAGGGTTTGGGAGGGAGGTCTTTGCACACAATCTTCTCATGCATTTTGTAAAGAGGTAGTTTCAATAACTTGGAGCAGTGAACTATAGGCCACCAGAGGAGTAACCCTACTAGTTCTTTTAAATGTGTCACCCCTCAAAAGAACTTTTTGTGCAATGAGAGATGTTAAAAACGTGATAAATGTTTTTGAAGGCCTAAATGTCACTCTCGAAATATCTATAATACACTTTGAATGTATGTTTAATGTTGTAAACTATAAAAAAGTTATAATGAGAATATAACCAGTTTGTGTTTATTAACAGTTTGCTTAGGGGTTGATATTAAGAAAAAGATCGGTCAAACAAACATATTTATTGATGCGTAGCGGGGGTTTTCCTCCTGTTATCCTTTCTTTTTGAGATATAGAACTAAGTGGAAAAGAAAATAACTTTTTTTTTTTCATAAAGAAACAAAAGTAAAACATTGAAAGAAATGGCAAAACAGAGAGGAGGCTTCAGTCTCAAATTCAAATTAAATCTGAAGTGACATTCATGACGTAAGCTTGAAGTCAGAATGAGAACTGTAAGTTGGTATGGAAGTCCGAATGCCAGCCAAAAGTCAAAATCAATGTGTGAATGGCAGCCAAAAGTAAAAGAGCAATATTGGAATGACAGCTGTCTCTTATGGTGTAGAGGAGTGGTACTCTTGTGACGTCCATGTTGACTGACCTGAAGGGTGGACCTTTGTGTGCTTGATCTTGGAAGTTGAGCAGCAATCAAACGCTCTTGTTGTTGAGGAGGAGGGGGTTTTGTGATGCCGACAGGATTGACCAATCTCATAGGTGGCCTCACTCTTTTTTTCTGGTTTTTCTGTTGTGAAAGAGATCCCTTGTGAATTTTTGTGAAGTTGAATGATAAGATGGTGATATCTATTTGCTTGATTTTCGTTTGTAGGATTCCCTATTCTAGTTAGTTAATAATTAGTTGGTCAATCAATTGATTCTCTTGGTGTATCTGCTGTTCGGTCTTTGTCTATTTCAGTAGGATTATTTCTACTACTTGCTCCTTCCTGGATTTTTCTAGACTTTCTTAGTTGTTTGGATACTTTGCTTGGTATATGCTATGGCTTGGTTTTCTTGGTGAACTATGTATTGGTACTGGGAATGATAGCCAACTATGGTTTCTTTTGTTCTCCGTTCTGTAGGCTGTTGATGTCCCCATTTTGCTGATTAGTTGTTGTCAATACAGAGGGAGGAGTCCTTGGCTCCACTCTCTATGGTTCCTGGAGATTTGAAAATGGAATGTGAAATGTGCTTGTTTGCATTCTGAAGACTTGATTTCCTTTATAAAATTCTGGTATCTTGTTTGCTTGGAGAGTGGGGTATTATTGACACTTAGGCTCCAATTTAAGTGTTGGTGGTGGTACTAGATTTGGGTTTACGCTTGTTCATGTTGAGAGTTATGGATAGGGGTATTATTTTTGGTAATATTATGTGCAGATTGCTGTTTAGTGCATAGTTTGATTTGGCTGCAAATCCTCCTGTACCATATTTCCATTTTATTTTTGGTGTTATATAACAAATTTTTGGTGAACCCTGCTTTGTTTAGAGGGAAGGTATGCTGTTTGTGGGGGATATACATTTAAGTCACAAGCATGATCATAGGAGAAAAGCTATCTAGTAGAAGGCAAATACAAGGTTAATTCTGTGAGTGTATATTGTTAAAGAGAACATGTTCTTACCTTTTTTATTTGTATTTTTGTAGGACTTGAGGGCCCTCAAAAATCACAAAGAACTCTTTTCTGTGCCTAAAAATACATGAAAGATTAACTAGGATTTTGTACTTGTTAACTGGGTCCATACTTCAAAAGCAAAGCATAAATAAAGGGGGTAAAGTTAATGTGGTAGGCAGACCACTGCTTGTTTTGGATATATATGCAAGTCATGAGCATGATTTTAGGAGAAATGATAGAAGGCAAATATGAGGTTAATTCGGTGAACGTATAATTTTAAAGAGAACATGTTCTTACCTTTTTTATTCGTATTCTATTAGGACATGGGATTCTGTGAAAAGGGATGACCCTTAAATAACACAAAGAACTCGTATATGCCTACCAACACATGAAAGGTTAGCTAGAATTTTGTACTTGTTAACTGGGTCCATACTCCAAAACCAAAGCATGAATAGAGGGATAAAGTTAATGTGGTTGGCAGACAACTGCTTGTTTTCTGTAATAATAACCAGTCTACTTAGGAGAATCTAACCGTGTTGTTTTTAGAAAAAGGTTCATTGTAGTTGAGCCGATCAATATTGCATTTGATGGGTTCTTGTTGATATTGTTGCATCTTCTGCAGTATGTTGATTATGGAACGGAGGGAAGTGTTTTGCTTCTAGAGACCTGCTTGGACCACTTTAATGTATATGAGAAGGACTTGAAAAGTACTCGTCTGGAACCTGTAGTTGCTTCACTTTTTAGAAAAATGCTGGAAAAGCCGCAGTTTAGTACTGTATTCTCTGTGTCAGTAAGGCCAACAGCAATCACTGAAGAATTTCTGGATAATCTATCTATTGCGCTACAGTTATCGGCATATGAGAAACTTGGATTTGGCCTAGCTTTGACAGATTCGGAAAACAATGACATTAGAATGGCTGGTGAGCTGTCTTGCTGTTTCTTGTTTTTATGCTGTTAGCAAGAGCTCTATATTTATGCCCATATGAGAATTGTATTGCTGTTTGCAGGAAGGAACTTCTGTATGGGAAAGATTGAGGAATTGTTTGCTACCCATACCTCTTTGCATACCGCTGACTGTGTTCAGGATATATTGCTGTTTCTTAATAAATCTGAAGTCCTTTCTAAACATGTGGATTCATTTATGCAATTGTTATCTCTGGTTCAGTTCGATAAGGATTCGGGGTTTATTTTAGCTCCTCTCCTTTCAGATGAACTGCAAGACTCCAAGTTATTGAGGTGAGTCTATGATTTTTGTTGCTTGTGCAAGATGAATTGATTTTATTTTTTACCATTTTAAAATCATTTTGCTGTTTTCTGTTTTAATTTTTCAGCGATATCGATTTTCTTAGTGAAGGCAATGATGACGAATTTGATGCTATCCTAGCAGAAATGGAGAAGGAGATGAGCATGGCGGACATGTTGAGAGAATTGGGTTATAAGTGCACATTAGATGTATCGCTGTGCAAAGATTTGTTATCTTCATTCTCACCGCTAACTGAAATCACTGTTGCTAGGATACTAGGCACAATTGTCCGATTTGATGCCGGTCTTCAGGACCATGAAAATGCATTTTCAACATTTTGTTCTGCTCTTGGTAGAGGGAGTCTGTCCGATATGTCATCATTGAACTCCTGGAACACTGATGTCCTTATAGAATCAATTAAGCAGCTTGTTAGTTCCATATTTCATTTTTTCATTTTAAAATATTCTTCATATTTTTGTTTTCCATGAAGATGGCAGATGCAATTTGGAAATATTATTAACACTGATGAAAATATATAGGCTCCTGGAATCAGCTGGACCACTGTAATTGAGAATCTTGATCATGAGGGTTTTTACATCCCCGACGAGGCAGCATTTTTGCTATTGATTTCCTGTTACAGACATGCATCTCAGGTTTTTCTTCAATTTTTTTAGCTCTGCCAGTGATGGAGAGTGGCATTCTTGATGCTTATATTGTACTGATTCGTTTGATGATGATGCAGGATCCTTTTCCACTGGCTGCTGTTTGTGGCAACATTTGGAAAAACACCGAGGGGCAGCTGTCATTTCTGAAGTGTGCTGTTTCTGTACCACCTGAAGTATTCACATTTGCACACTGTGAAAGACAAGTGGTATGAAGATTTTCATATATGCTTTTTCTATGAATGACCAAGTTATCTGAGGGCTCAAAAGATTTATTCCTATTGTTGCAGGCATATGTTGATATAGCCAATAATCACAAGTTTCAATCTGGTCATGCAAATCATGCATGGCTATGCCTCGACCTTTTGGAGGTCTTGTGCCAGCTAGCTGAGAGAGGGCTTGCAAATTCTGTGCGGTTGCTGCTTGAACATCCTCTTAGGAATTGTCCCGAAGTGTTGTTATTTGGGATGGCCCATGTTAATGTATTGTCATCTCACATTGTTCTATTTTTCTGCTTCTCCATTAAGTTGTTTTGGTTGATGGTTTAATTGTAAATATGCAGACACCATATAATCTCATCCAACATGAAGTTTCTTCGGTTGTTCTTCCTATGATACTTAAAGATGCTTCTTTGGGTGGCATTCTGCTCCATCTTTGGCATGTAAACCCTCCCTTTTTGTTGAGAGCTCTAAATGACACACTCAACATGGATGCAGATAACACAAACAGAGTATTGGATATATTCCAGGAGTTAAAGGTCAGTGGTCCAGTTTTAATTTCTAATTCGGTACTGCTTGTATTAGTGTCTCAAAGCAATATGGATAAGTAGAATGTGTATGGTGTATTGTACTATGACTAATAGGGCACGCGGTCTTCATTCAATTTCCAATACTGATTCTGATAGATGTAATGATCTTTAGATTTCTACTATATAATTAAGCTGTGTTGTGAGAATAAAATGTTATGTATGTCATCTCTGATATTGTTAAACATGAACAGAGTGATGAAAATATTTTGAGAAGCCTTTTTACAGTTCTGACAGCAACTTTGACATATTGACTTGTGAAAAAAGAATTAGCCATTTGCTTTTTGACCTGTAAAAGTTTGTGTGCTAATCTTATATTATGACCTATAAAACTTTGTGTGCTAATCTTATATTATGACCTGTGCTGTACTGAGAATAGGTGAGAAGGAAGTTGGAAAACCTTTTATGGTTAGACGTGATATTTTGCATTTAATGCGCAGTTTATGCTTATTGTGATTCTCTGTTTCCATTGTTTGTTTTTATATTTGTAGAACATAGAAGCATCATCTCCCGAAATATGTTTTATGGTAGTTTTTTGCCTCCTTATTTTTTACCTCTTGCTGTGTAAACCTGAAAAGTTCGCTTACTTGCTTCCATTATCTTTTTTCTAATTTCAAATTTTGTTTTCATTTAGCCTTCATCTCTCAAATGCTGTATGTATTTTTGTCAAGTCTTCTAAAATATCTTTCTTCGTCACAGATTGTATCTCCTGTATTGGATATGGTACCTATGTATTTGGGTATCAGGCTGGCTGCCCTGGCTTCTCGAAAAGAGCTCGTAGATCTGGAGAAGTGGTTGAGCATGAATTTAAGCACTTACAGAGATACTTTCTTTGAGGTAAGTTACAACTCTTTGCAACTTTTTACCTATGCCATGCCCTGTCATCGTGAATTGTTAGTACTGTTCTACGTTCACATCTTTTCTCATTAAACACTGTCATGCATTGTTCAAGAAGAAGAGATTTAAAAATGATAGTGATATGCATGTGTTACCTTTTCAGGAGTGCCTCCGATTTCTGAAGGAGGTGGAGTTTGGTGCTCATGAATCTTCCAATCGGTTGCATAACTCCAGTAACATCTGGAGTCTTTATATGGAGACTGCTCCTGTGTTTTTAAAGGTTTTACTCATCAAATGGTTGTATTCTATTTCAATTCAATTATCTCTAGTCTACACACTGTTCGAATCTATGTCTTTTTAGGTCCTTCAATCGCATACAAGCTTGCTATCCTCAAATCAACTTTCTAAGGAAATGGAAAGATTACATTTGAAGTCTACGAACAATAGTTCAAGGATGAAGAACAATGGTGGTCCTGATTCGTCAACATCTGAAGTGTATGCAGATGATATAGAGACAGAGGCCAACTCTTATTTCCAGCAAATGTTCTCTGGTGTGTTGACGATTGATGCAATGGTTCAAATGCTAGCCCGATTTAAGGAATCTTCTGAAAAGAGGTTTATTCTTTACTCAGATTTGTTTTGAAGTTTACTAATACCATTTTCTATCTCTTTTTCTGTTACAGAAATTCGTAGGTTAAAATGCTTAATTTGTTCGTTTTCTTAATTTATTTTCATCTTGGTTTTTAGATCATGTAATGTGATTTAAGTGGGAAGAATAGTACTTGTTGACAATGGGTTCTTTTCTGGAGAAAGGTTTTGCAGCTCCCATTCAACCTGAATAGCGATTTTCTCAAATTATCTTAAATTTTGAGGAGCAAGAAACTTAAGAATTGTCTTCCATCCCATTCCTATTTGAATGAAAAACCTCCTCATTTTCAGAGTCTTCTATAATGAGCGATTGCACATTTTCTTTATTCAGTCAGTAATAATAACTGGTTCCAAATAATAACCTCAGTTAAGTGGGTGGTAATGGAAGGAATATGCGTCCAATCCCTTCCTATGTGAGTTTGTGGTTCTTTGATTCATGTAATCATGTGTATTGGTGAGTCTTATGTTACAGACTCGCTCACTCTAGGACGCATTCTTGTTCATATTGTAGGAGGGACAGAGGAGGGCTTTGTACACTACAAATGTATCATTGGATTCCTTAATTGAGTGCTTGGTGTCTGTGTGTCCATGTTATGCCTAGAAACCAAGGCACATTATGAAACATGAGCTGTGAGGATGTGTGGAATAAGATGGGTTGTTCCTGATGGAAGGGGATCATAACATTATTTGGTAGTATTGGTCTATTTTGTTGGAAAAGGAAGTTGGTGCAAGTGAAGATCCTGGTACTAGTTTATTTGCTAGCTGTCAGTTGGGATAATGGTGTTCCTAAGGATGCATCTTATTTATCAATTTGTGAATACAAGTGTTGGCCAAATTATGGTCAGTGAATGGAAGGTTACATGTGTCCTTGACCACTAGTTCCTTCATAGTTGAAGGTGCCCTTAGTCAATGAAGTGGTAGATGATTGAGGTATTCTTAGGTGTAATCTCATGGATTAGAATCGGGGAATCTTGTGACGGTGTAAATGTGTTTGGAGCTGGAGGCAAAGAGTGAAGGCAGCCATCACTAGAGGATAACTCTGTTATTAATCACATAATGTTTTGTCATTGTGTGTGTGAGCTTTGCAGTCTGGTTGAATCCATTTGTGAAACAGCTGACTTGTTTAATTGTTTTAAACATTACAATCTGATGATTGGCACTTTAAGCTGCTAAAACGTTTACTCACTTTTCGTGTTTTAAGCAAAATGCTTGTTTAATTCTCAAGTTTTTAGCAAAATGGTCATTTAATTCCAGACAAATGAAGAATGTAGTTTGAAAATGTACATGAAAGATACCCAACATGACTCTATCCTTCCCTATGTTGCCTTTGTTATGATATTACAAAATCTGACCATCATAAAAGGTTTCAAAAGTCTTTGGCTTCAAGGTGACCTGCATTGTGTTTAAGTTTGTAGTTCTTGGAGGGAGCTGAAGTTGAAATGGGTACTGATGTATTTGACTACTAGCCTTCTGCTGCTTAATTCTTGAATAACCCCTGATCTTTCTTCAGTCTTTTGAGTATGAATTAAATTTGTTATCATTGCCCATGAACTTGAACATTTTTATTGGAAATACCTAGCAAAATGCCAACCGGAGATGATTCTTACATTTATAGTTTGTAGAGTCCTTATGTTCTGCTGCCGTGTGGCCTTTCAGGGAACAATCAATATTCGAGTGCATGATTGCCAACCTGTTTGAAGAGTACAAGTTCTTCAACAGATACCCGGACAGACAACTTAAACTTGCTGCCGTTCTCTTTGGTAAGGTCTCATAGGACTTGCATTGCAGAAATGTAACTAGCAATGTTATTCTCTACTGCAAATTTTTGTTGTTGATTTTCCTTTGGCATAGTTTTCTTAATCCCTACATGGATTAATAAATACATATATGTTCTGTACTGTCAAATTGTTTTGCCGTGATAATGCTATCCCATAAGTGTGTTTAGGCATGTGTTTTCTCAATCTGGGATTTTCTTGAAGGGGTCTCATGTTCAATATAAAAAGTTGTGGGGGGCTTGTTTTTTTGCTCGAGACATGACTGATTTAAACTGAGTTAATATTTATGGTATTTATATGAATATGGTATCGTTATTTGCTATTTACTTTGTCTCTATGTGAAGCACTACTTTTTAATTATGAAATATGTTTTTTATAAATTTGAAATTGCAGGATTGCTTATTAAGAATCAACTTGTGACTCATCTGACACTGGGTATTGCCCTACGAGCTGTTTTGGATGCATTGCGCAAACCTGCGGATTCCAAAGTTAGTACTAACTTCTGGTGATGACATTGCTCTACTCCAAAGGCATTTGTTTCTCTAATGCTGAAAAATGCCTTTATGCAGATGTTTGTTTTTGGTACAAAAGCTCTGGAGAAGTTTGTGGATCGCCTGATTGAATGGCCACAATACTGCCAACATATCTTACAAATATCACATCTACGTGGTACTCATTCAGAGCTTGTTGCTTTCATTGAAAGGGCGCTTGCCAGAATTTCATCAGGCCACCCAGAATCAGATGCAGGCCACAATCCTGCTGCCGACCAACACCATAATTCTATCCCGCAAGCAAATATCGAGGTAGACCTTTCATGCTCCTTTGGTGTCTGTTTTTTTTTTATGCATGCATTGGTGCATCTTAATTATTTTTGATAATTCAGATTGTGAATAGTTGGTGGATGAGGTTGCTTTGCTTCTTTTGTAGTAAACTATGTAGATAGTATAACATTTTATGTTCGTATATTGTATGTTTTGGAAGTGATGGACGTTGATTAGTCATGGAGAAGGTTGAGAGATTCTTGACGGTTGTGGTGGAATGGCAACGACGTCAACTATTACTTGGATTACTTCTTCAAGTCTTATGAGGAATATGTTCATTCTGTGCATCCCGATTACTTGTGAAATAATACCACATTTTTTTGTCTGCTGTAGCTTGTTAGGGAATTGTATATGCCAGTGTGCACTTGCTTGCGCAGGCATGGTTTTAAAAAGCGGTTAAGGTGTATGCATCAAGGCGAGGTGGCAAAATGGACTTGAGGCATCGTCTCTCAATGCCTTCTAATTCGTACCTCTTGCATTGTGAGGTGGTAGTGAAGCAGGAGTCTATAGAGAGGCGTACGTCTCTGTTATGTGGGTGTGCCTCTTTATTTAAATACTAAAAGTAAAACACTAAACTTTGGTAAAAAAGAATGGTTGGTTCTAGTCTTTCTCTCAACAGCGTTTCACCTCTCAATCAAGCTTTAAAACCTTCTTTCTTCTCACCCTCGTACTTACGCCTTTATATATATATATATATTCTCTGAACCTGCTGCATACCTACTGACTATATTATATTTTTTGTTTGTTAGTATGTAATTTATATATGCATCTTGTGCATATATATCTATTTTATATTTATTAGTATATAATATTTTGTGCAAGTATATTTAATATATTTTCTTTTTGGGCGTATGTGTTTTGCGTATGTATATTGTGTAATCCTGTCGGTAAATACCGTGTTCAGTATATTTCTGTTTAATATATTCTTTGATTTTTTCTAGTATGTTCCCACCTAGAGGCTTCAGCCTCTCTCAGGGAAAACGTCCCACCTTGCGTTTTTGTACTTTAAAACCTTGTGTGCAGGTTTGGAGCTTACACTTAGACGGTGCAGCTGGAGTTGCTAATATGATTATCTATTCCAAACCGGATGATGGATTTTGTTTGTTTCAACTTCTATATTGCATCTTTTGCTGTTCTTTTAAAATTTTAATATATCATGATGGTTTTCTTTACATTATCATCATCTTTAGCTAATCAAACAAGCGTTGTACCAAAAATATTTTACATCAAATTCACCTATGATAGCTCCTATATTTTATAGTCCATCAAAATGCGTTTAGTTTAGATGTTTGTTGATCACATTCAATTTAATTCTTAATTATAGTATATTACATATTACAGTGCTTCTGCTGATTATTAATATAATCTATCAAAAGTGACATTTATCTTGTAATGGAAGTAGTGTTTTATCAGTGCCACGATTGAAGATGCTCATTATTTGGTCTTGCATATCCCAATTTACTTTTGTTATACACTTCTTTGTCGGTGTATGCCTCTCCATCTTGATTATTACCAACAGCATTGATGTTTGATCTGATGCTTCTGCAAAGCCTGATTTAGTGTGGCAGTATGAATGGGTTGGGTGATGGCTTTTTCTATTTGTTAGTGTACAGGTGGCTGAGATACTTTCTGATACCTGTATATAAAGCTAAGAAGGTGTTGTTTTTGAGATCCTAGGAGTGTGCAGGATGCTTGTAGTATATATTAAAATAGATTTTCATGGATTGTATGTTGTAACAAGTTAAGTCTTATTGGCAAACGAAGTAGTAGGCAAAGGGGTTTGTACATGGGCCTTTAGTGTGACGTCTTTCATCATCAGATCACATTAAGGTGTTATTTGAATTTGCTTCCGTCATCATTTTCAACATATTTGTTTCATGTATGGTCAGCTACTTACCTATGGTGACTATAATAATGATACATAATGAAGGATCTACTTCTTAGTAAAATGTGCCTTCTTTAGTGATATCAGTTGAGCTTTCAATACTTTTTGGTCTTTTTTGGTGAGGAAAAGTACTAGGTTAATAGCATGCTCTTACCCACATATAAAAATTGAACTCCATTACATCTTTCTTAGTGCTGATGTTCAAGTTTGCTTTTGGACCATTGTAGATTGATATAAGCAGTCTCAGATATTTGTTTTTCTTGTAGATGGCGGCTTCATCTTTCCCTTTGATTGGATCTGGTGGTGGACAGCTTGGTTCTCAAATACCTTCTCCAATCCAGCTTCAGCAGAGGAACCAGAGTTATTTAGATGAGAGACACAGAGCCTCTGTAACTTCGTCCAATTATATGAAGCCAAACTTAACTAACGCAGGGCAAGTCTCAGTTGCTCCAGCAAGTGAACCTGTTAGCATCCCAAAGGCAAGCACCTTACTGCAACCTGAGTTATGCAAGACGTTTTCTATCCTCGTTCAATTGTTTGGTGGTGTTAAGCATCTTATCAATTTCTTTTTTATCATGATTAAATGCAGCCACAGAGCGTTGTTAGTTCTTCAGCAGCGTTGGCTTCCTCTCCTGCATTTGTTCGGCCATCTCGTGGTTCTTCAGCAAGTACGTTTTGAACTTTCTCTTAAGCTTTTTACATACATGAATCTTTCTCATATCTCTGGTGTTTTCAATTCTTCACCTTCCTCTTATGATGCCTTTTTATCTATATCATGCAGGGTTTGGTTCTGCATTAAATATTGAAACACTTGTTGCTGCTGCTGAACGCAGAGAAACTCCCATAGAGGTATTTTATGTACCCTGGCCCTTTTTGGTGGTCTTCCAGGATTTTCAAATGAAATGCCTATTAGTGATTATAGTTATCATACTAAGATAATTTCCCTGGCTCAATGAAAGTGGTGAAGGATCTCAGAAGTTAATGTATTAAGATGATTTTTTGATAATAATAATTGCAAGATGGTGTTTCCCTCCAGGAACTGAGTAACTGTGGAGTGGTTCAGAGAATGAGATGCTTGCTTTTTACTTGTTCAGATGTGATCTAGCTGTGATAAATGGATTCATATTATGTGTATCATCCTGGTTTTATGAGCATCTAATAATTCGTTGCTCTTTCTAAATATTATTTGTAAAATTTTCTGATCATTTGCTTCTCTAATATGCATCTCGTTTACAGGCCCCACCATCAGAAACTCAGGATAAGATCTCATTTATCATCAATAATTTATCGGCTGCCAATATTGAAGCTAAAGCAAAGGAATTCACAGAAATTTTGAAAGAGCAGTACTATCCTTGGTTTGCACAGTACATGGTCATGAAAAGGTGAGAAACCATATAACTAACTGAATTTTTTCTTGTGGTAATATTTTTTCGGGCAAAAGCTCTGACAACCATCAAGCTTACCAGAATTGGTTTTATGAAAAATGAATGTTAATGCACTTATTATATTGACACTCACATTCTCTTTTCAGAAAATTAGGATTTTGGGAATTTTGAGTGGCATGTTTTGGTGGTTGTCATGACTTTATTCTACATTCTTTCTTTTTGTCTTATCTTCAAAATCTTTGAACCCATCTTCATGTCCTGCACATGGAGGTTTGCTTATGAGCCTGCACATAATATATGCAGTGTCCAGTTGTTCTGTACAACTTGGTAACTGTAATCGAGCATGTAAAACTTTCTTCTCAGAAGCGGCCACTGGAGCACTATAACTAACATGATTTTTTGTGATTAAGCCAGTAAATTTGTTTGGATGATCGTTTTTAAGCTTTGCTTACTTGTATATAATGAGTGGATATTTTTCTGAGTAGCCTGGCTTACTGATCTTATTGACAGAGCGAGCATTGAACCAAACTTTCACGACTTGTACTTGAAGTTCCTTGAGAAAGCCAACTCAAAACCTCTAAACAGAGAGATTGTTCAAGCCACATATGAGAATTGCAAGGTGCGTTTTTATAATTTATTCTTTGGTGTGCTTTACGTGTGATAATTTGTGGATTGTTGGAATTCTTATATTAGATGGTGTTGCAACAGGTTCTTCTAGGATCTGAACTTATAAAGTCTAGTTCGGAAGAGCGTTCGTTGCTGAAGAATCTTGGAGGCTGGCTGGGGAAGATCACGATTGGTAGAAACCATGTTCTGCGTGCTAAAGAGATTGATCCAAAGGCCTTAATTATTGAGGTCATCACACAATATATGTTCCACTTCTAACATAGTTGTCCTTTAGTAATTAGGTTTATTCTTCAAAAATACTGTCCTCTATTTTCCCGTGTGATATGTAACTTAGTTTACCTTTAAAATAACTGCAGGCATACGAAAAGGGTTTAATGATTGCGGTGATTCCATTTACCTCCAAGGTACACAGATTAACTGGTTTATCTTTATTCTCTGTTGAGAGGATTGTGAGGCATTAAACATCTTTTTTGTTCATGCTGCAGATTTTAGAGGCATGCCAAAGCAGTCTAGCATATCAACCTCCTAATCCTTGGACCATGGGAATTCTTGGATTACTTGCTGAAATTTATGCAATGCCGAATCTCAAAATGAATCTCAAGTTTGAAATTGAGGTATGTTTACTGTTTATGGAGATAAAAAGTGAATGATATTAAATTGGGGAATCACTCCTCAAAGCCCTAGGGTTGCTTAGCTTCAGTACAAGATGGTTGGCATATCACCCAAAGGAACACCTAGTATCTTAAAGCAAATCTCTATATAGCAATTAAAGAATAACCTTTTTAATAATAAAATGAATTTGTCTTGCCTATGTCAGAAAACCATGGTTGAATGCGACATTCCTTTTGAAGGGGAAAAAGTACAGTAATTGCTAAACTGAATAGAGGCAACTAGTAAATTCACTTATTTGCTTTTGTCCTTGTGACCTTTCAGGTCTTGTTCAAGAATCTTAATGTGGATTTGAAGGAAGTTACCCCAACATCCCTTCTTATGGACAGAGTGAGAGAAATTGAAGGAAACCCTGATTTTTCTAACAAAGATGTTGGGTCGGCCCAACAACCAATGGTTGGGGAAGTTAAATCTAGCATGATATCTACTCTGAATCAAGTTGAATTACCACTTGAAGTTGCCAGTTCATCTCATCCTGGCAGTCATTCACGTATATTGTCCCAGGTTTGTTATCTTTGTATATTTCTCATATTACATCCATACTATTTCTTTGCATCCCTGGTTTGCTAGTGCCAATTTTTTGGTGGATAGTATGCTGCTCCTCTCCATCTTCCTGCTGCTACCTTAAGCGAGGATGAGAAGATGGCAGCTTTAGGCTTATCTGATCAGCTTCCATCTGCTCAAGGACTTCTACAAGCGCAGTTGCCGTTTTCAGTTGGTCAGGTGTGGTAGAGTGTGTTATTCTTCTTGTATAGTTTTTGTTCTTCTTCATCGAAATGGTTGTTGTCTTTGCAGCTGCCAGCATCAAATATTGACCAACAAGTTATTGTTAACCCCAAGCTTCAAGCTCTGGGCCTGCATTTGCACTTCCAGAGGTTCTATCCTCTTTTGACCTTGTGGCTAGTAAACAAAATAATGTTTGGTTTACCTAGCTTATGTATCTTCTTTTGTTTTACAGTGTGCTCCCAATGTCCATGGATCGGGCTATCAAAGAAATAGTTTCTAGCATTGTGCAGCGTAGTGTTTCTATAGCAACTCAAACAACAAAGGAACTTGTCTTAAAGGTGTCATTTTGCTGGTCCAGTATGTTCATCGTGTGTTAATATTACTGAAGTCTTCTCACCTAAAGATCTTGTACGTACAATGACAGGACTACGCTATGGAGTCTGATGAGAGCCGTATACATAGTGCAGCTCACTTGATGGTTGCAAGTTTGGCTGGAAGTTTGGCTCATGTGACATGCAAGGTTTTTTGTTCATTGTTTATTCATACTGTACTTTGATATTTTCTTGCATATAACTTCCTAATGTAAATTATGCATATTCTTGTATCTTGCATGTTAACAATGATTTCTTCTGTTTTTAGGAACCTCTTCGTGGTTCAATATCAAGTCAGCTAAGAAACAATCTTCAGACTTTTAATATTGCCAGTGAACTGTTCGAACATGCAATTCAGCTTGCTACTAATGACAACCTTGACCTGGGCTGTGCATTAATTGAACAGGCGGCAACAGAGAAGGTTAGATCGTTTAATCCCATTTTTCAATGCGACATATATTGTGGTGTATTTAGATGAATTGCTGATCCCACACTGGGAGTGTTCATATCACATTCTACATTCAAGTAAATCTTGGATGTTATCATGAGTGCTTGCAGATGATACTCATGGTAGTGCTTTGTTTTTTTTGTACCACACATGTACTGCGAAAAATCACGTTGCACATTTGTCCTTAAAGTTGGATGAAAAAGCGATCTGGCCACACATTTGGCAATGTTATTTACGAAGCAAACCAGAAATGAAATAGGGAGGGGGCAGAACAGATAAGAATAGACAATGAACAGATAAGAATAGACAATGATTCCGGATGTTGTAAGAAGGTTTACTCAACTCTTTATGATACAAAATCTTGTAGGTACTAGATCCTTTCTTAACTTATACCAGCATATCAAGTACTCTCCTGATAAATATCTTAAAGATCTATTCAACCTTTAGAATTAGATTGCTATACTTCCTGGTACTTGTCTTCTAATTCTCAACATGCCAGTTTATCTCTAAATAGTAACTGTTATTAATTTATGTGCTCCATATTAGCGTTGGGGGAAGGCCTGACACATTTGGGACCTGCAACTTTTAAGCCTTCTTCTCTCTGCTTACATTGGGAAAGAAGGAAGCGATTGCTTACCCCTACTGTCTGTTGAGAAAATCCAACTTAATTGTCTGTCACTAGAGTTTAAGCTGATCCTAACAAAGTATAAGCTTGTATGTATTGCTGTATGTTATTTCCATGTTAGGATTTCTCACATCTTTAAATGGTTCTGTTACTAGTCAATTGCAGTAACAATATATTTTGGTGCATACAGGCTGTACAAACAATAGATGGCGAACTTGCACCACAACTTTCGATAAGAAGGAAGCATAGAGAAGGGGTTGGACCTGCCTTTTTTGATGCAAGCCTGTATACACAAGGTCATGTAGGTGTTCTACCAGAAGCTCTGCGTCCTAAACCTGGCCGCTTATCCCATTCTCAACAGCGGGTCTACGAGGTATCACCTTAATTCTACGATTCGGTGGTTTTGATTTAGTGCTCGGTATAAAATTTAATAGTAACGCTCTTTTTGCAGGATTTTGTTCGGTTACCCTGGCAAAATCAATCCAACCAAAACTCAAATGCTGTACCTCTTGGTCCTTCGGCTCCCCAAGGAAGTGGTGCTCTACACCGGGGATATGGCTCAGCTTCAGGGCAACTAAACCCTGGAATTTTCTCATCTAGCCTGGGAAATTCTGGTATTAATGCTGTCGCACACTCCTTGGATCCTGAAGATATAGAGCCTAGTTCAGTAAAACTCCTTAGGTGTGTGGGAATTTGGTCATCCTTTATGTTTCCTATTTATGTGATTGGTCAAATGGTTTTCCTTTATTCATGTCTGACGAATTCTAGGAACTCGTACTCTTTAACTTTTACATCTTTTATCATTTCCTTTTCCATTTCCAGTGCTTCTTCGGTACATAGTGGGATGGCTGGTGGTATTGGTCCACACAATTTTGAGAATGAAGCTGTTCTTTCCTCATTTTCTTCGGTGTCAGCTCCTGAATTGCACATAACAGAATCTTCCAATGTTACCAAAGTTAGTACAATTTATAAACATGAGTTCAAGATGATGAGTTTTCATTGCTCATATCTTTTGCCTAACATGTGCCTTCTCTTATTTGCTAGGAATCGGGAGCTTATGCACAGCCTTTGCCTTCGCCTTCAGCTGCAGCTTCAGATCGCATTATAAGTACCACTGCAGAACCTTCATTGACTACTGGGGATGCATTGGATAAATACCAGATTATCTCAGAGAAGGTCTCAGATTGTCGTCACTTCAATTTCTTTCTTCTGACCATCTTTTATATAATTTCGTTATATATCTTTACTAACTAGCCCTACAGTAGAGATGTTAGACCAAGTATTTTGGATGGACCGGGTTAGAGGGGGCAGACATGGTATTTACATCCGTACATTCTAGAGTGATTTGTGGAGAATGGTTGTTGTATGCGTGTCACATGGGTTTTAAACCCGATATGATCATGCAGACTCATATTATGGTGAAAGGTTTCGAGTCTGCATGGGAAGAGGTTTCTGGGTAGTCTAGTAAAACATGCATCTTATATCCATATGCTGAGTTTTCTTACTGTATCCATGTCATGAAGAAATGAGTTTCTATGTGTAAAAAGATGTTGGAATTGGTATCAGGTCCAGGTTTATGAAGTACACAGTATTTATAGTGTTGACTTGTGATTATGCAAGTATGACTAACATATTTCAAGTGTAACCTTCTGAGTAAGATGAGAATGCAACTTGATGAAGAATGCTTGACCTTACAAAGTCACATGTATGTGTGTCTATGTCTTATAGTTACCTTAAGATTCATTAATGAGAAATGGGCTTATGCATTTATGTGTTCATATTCTACACAAAGCTTGCTCCACACCAGTATATGGTGTCATGGTGCATTTGTGAATGCGTCATAATGTAGTAGGGAGTAGTGGATATATGTTGGGCCATGGAATATGCAATGTGAATGTGTCCCGAGTTACATAACGTGTTGCTTAACACTCCAACAGGTGATATGGAAATATTAATGCATTGACTAGTCATGATATGGAAAATATTGTATGATAGATATTTTGTTTTTCTTCAAACCTTTTTTTTGTTATGAAACTTCCCATCTCTGAGGGGTTTTACAACTTAAAATTTCTGAATGAGGAGATGTGCATGTTCTTTCTTTTGCTTTTTTATTCCTTCTATTCTTGTTTACTTCAAATGAGATGGCTGTAGAGCTTACCAGATCTATCATTTGTTGTTTCAGCTGGAATCTCTGATAGCAAATGATGCTAAAGAAACAGAAATTCAGGTAATGTTCCTTTATATTCGTTATTACTTTTTCTCTCTTAAATTTTGTTTACCGAGGCTCCAAACTTAGATGTGATTACGAAATCTACTTCCCAAAAGCTGTTTCTATTAGTCTCTTTTTCAATGAGTTTATTCAAGTACTTTTTTGGATGACATTTGAATTTGCAAAACACATCTGAGTTCTTATTAGAGGATGTTTGTTTTCAGTCTATTATTGCCGAGGTTCCTGGGGTCATTCTTAAATGCATTAGTCGGGATGAGGCTGCCTTGGCTGTGGCTCAGAAGGTATTTTCATTGTTGTTATTTTGATGCTTATCCTTCTTACCAAATAGATGTTAACACTTCATCTAACCTTGTCATAGGTCTTCAAAGGCTTATATGAAAATGCAGCGAACGCCGCACATGTTGGTGCTCATCTTGCCATGTTGGCTGCGATTCGTGATGTTAGCAAGCTTGTGGTGAAGGAACTGACTAGTTGGGTATGTTTATTTTCCTTTCCCGACTTAGATGATGTTTTAGGTTCATAATGCTCTTCATTCATTAGCTACTGTCTATTGTTATTTCGATGGATATCTCCAAGAAACCATGCCATATAACTCTAGGCTGATCTCTTCGTATTTTTTGGGCTCCTCACATTTTTTTGCACTTTTTTTCTTTCAAGTTTTCTAATCCTTTCTCATGTCTTGGCACATATATTCCTCATATTTCTTTGCAATTAATTTCTTAGTGATTGGGGTGCTTAACTGATGAATTTAATGACGATTTTGAATTATTGTATTTGCTCAATTGGTTGATAAATGTTTCTCATGGGAGTGGTTTTAAATATTAATCTAGAGACAACTTGCCCAAAATACGTGCATTTTAGGTCTAGTTAGCTTCTCCCGGTTTGATAATGTCCTCACCTCATTGTTACTACTAATGCTGCTGCTACTACTACCACTACTTGCTCACACTGTGTTCCTGCAGGTAATATATTCTGATGAAGATAGGAAGTTCAACAAAGATATTACCATTGGCTTAATTCGCAGAGAGTTGCTGAACCTTGCCGAGTATAATGTTCATATGGCCAAGCTTCTTGATGCGGGAAAGAACAGTATGTGTAAACTTTGTTTTGTTAATAATAGCTACATGATTGCAAGCTTAAGATGTGTTATAAATCAATGCTTTGATGTGGTACTTCTGGCTTTTTGGGCATGTTTATGTGCATGTGCATATGTATGAGTGCGTATGTATTTACATATAATATAGATTGTATTATCATTTATTTGTCATTATAATTTACGAACATACCATTTTTAACTGTTAAACAAAATAAACCACAAGGGTTTTGTGTATTGATTTGATACGTAACCTAATTACAATCGGTCTCTATACATAGATACTAATTACATAGGATGCCCTCTACATTATACTAATTGCACTTAAATACATTTAGTCTAATACGCCCCTACAAGTTAAGGACGGGTAATGACCTGTAGCTTGGATCGTAAGAATAGAAATCTAGGAGTCGGCAACGGCTTCGTGAAAATATCAGCAATATGCTCTGTTGTGGAAATGAATTGTACATGAAGGTCTCCCTGAGCAACCTTTTCTTTGACAAAATGAAAATCAACTTCCACATGCTTTATTCGTGCATGAAAGACCGGGTTTGATAGATAGGTTGCACCTAATTTGTCACACCACAAGATAGGAGCTGATGGGGGCATGAACACCAAGTTCACGAAGGAGAGCTTGATGCCAGGTAAGTTCAGCTACAACATCAGCCAGGGCTTTGTAGTCCGACTCAATAGAGGATCGAGAAACAGTGCGTTGTTTGTCAGTGGTCCAAGATACAAGGTCAGAACCCAAATAGATGGCAAATCCCCCCGTGGACCGACGATCATCTAGACACCCAGCCCAATCAGCATCGGAGAAGCCTTGGAGAGATAAAGTAGATGCCTGACAAATGAGTAAGCTGCAGTCAACAGCGCTCTGGAGATGGCGTAGAATCCGTTTGACCATAGACCAATGTGATTCAGTAGGGGCATGCATGAACTGACACACTTTATTAACTGCAAAAGCGATTCGAGAAAGAGTAACATATTGAAGAGCACCAACGACCTGTCTGTATTTAACCGGGTCAGAAAAAGCAGGACTGTCAGGTAAAGATAGCGAACGGGACGAGGTCATGGGGGAAGGCATGGGCTTAGAGTTTGAGTGGTCTACTCGTTGTAAGAGCTCCAAAATGTACCTCTTCTGAGAAAGGATGATGTATGGTCCTTGAGGAACGATCTCAATACCCAAGAAGTAATTTAGTGGGCCTAGATTTTCTATCGCAAAGGCTGGGCTCAGTTGTTGAACGATGGCCTTGATAGCGGCATTATTGTTTCTCGTGATGATGATGTCATCAACATACAATAAGATGTATAGAAGAGTGCCAACATGATTGGAAATAAACAGTGAAGGATGAGTCTTGGAGCCTACAAAATCAAGGGTATGAAGAGCCTTAGAAAGGCGGTGAAACCAATCCCGTGGGGCCCTCTTGAGGCCGTAAATGGACTTATGGAGTAGACAAACATGATCTGATCGTTGTGGGTCAATAAAGCCTGGAGGCTGCTTCATATAGACTGTTTCAATAAGGTGGCCATGAAGAGAAGCATTTTGACATCAAGTTGCCTGAGCGACCATTTCTAAAAAACCGCAAGCGATAAAACAACCCTGATGGTAGTGCTCTTGACAACAAGACTGAAGGTTTTGTGAAAATCAATGCCATGTCGCCGATTTTACGACGAGTCTCGTTTTGTAACGAGTGATGGCACCTGTCTTGTCCCGTTTTATTCTGTAAACCCACTTACAATCAACCACATTAGTATCATGAGCACGAGGAACTAGAGACCGCGTGCTGTCTTTAACAAGAGCGGAGTACTCCTCAGCCATAGCTTGACGCCATTCAAGAGATTTGTTGGCGATGGTAAACGAGATTGGTTCAATAGGTGTAGTGGAGGTGGTGGTAAGATTAGCTGAGAGGTTGAAGGGAACCCGTTGTTTTGGGTTGGCCCGGAGGTTAGGACGTTGTCTACTTGTCTAGGAGGAGGAGGCGGTGGTGGTGATGGAGATGAGGAAGTGGGTGATAATGGAGGTGTCTGGATCATGGTATAAAGGGGAAGTGGGTTTAGGAGAAGACTGAGAGATGGGCGAGAAAATATGTGGTGAACTGGGTGGATTAGGTAGGAGATGGAGCGACAGGTGGAGTGTTGTCGGTTATCATGTGAGGTGATATCGAGGAGGTGTAGGGATATGATGATGTATGTGAGGAAGTAGGGACAGTAGGAATAGCAAAGGGGAAGTGGTCTTCATTGAAGCGAACATGACAAGCAATATATAAACGCTCGATAGCCATGATGGAAATGACAATAGCCAAGAAAGACGCAAAGGGTCGACCGAAAGTCAATTTTGTGATGGTTGTACGGTCAAAGGTAAGGAAAGCATTGACAATCGAAGACCCGAAGAAAGGAGTAATTGGGAGACGTTTGAAGAGATGTTCGAACGGTGATTTGTTTGTTGAGGTTCACGAAGGCATGCAATTGATTAGGTATTAAGCGGTATCGAAGGCGTAATGCCAGAAACGTTGAGGAACACTTGATTGAGCAAGTAGAGCGAGACCAATTTCAACGACATAGCGGTTGCGTCGTTTCACGAAGCCGTTTTGCTCACTAGTATGGAGACCTGAACGGTGATGAACAATGCCAAGGGATGAGAAGAAGGGAGATAGATTTCGAAATTCACCACTCCAGTCAATTAGAACGTTCTTGACTTTTGTAATAAATTGTCTTTCAACCATGGTAAGAAAACCTTTGAAGGTGTTGTAGACATCTGATTTTTGACCCAAGTTACCAAAACTCTACCTGCCCTCTTGGTCACGCCACTACAAGGCTGAATGTACATTCAGTCTAATAAAACATAGTCGCATTTACAAAATAGCTAAATTGACATGAAAGGGCAGCCTGAAATGGGCAATCATGTATTATTTATGAGATCAGCAGCTAGGGCATTCTACACGTAAGAGTAACATGTGTGTTTCATGTATGATGCATTGAAATTTAGTTTTTTTTATATAATGTTGGAATTTTTATGAAGTTCATCATCAGATTACAGGTAGCAAAATGCCTGATAACATGTCTTACTTCTTTTGACTTCTTGAGTATTTTGAACTTCATAATTAGTTCAAGCATTCTTAAGCAGTTGAAATTGTATATAATCTCAGTTATCATACTTCAGAGAAAGAGAGCAAAATAAGATTATGATTACCATGTTAAGTGGAATCATTGAAATGATAGGAAGGCAGTGAACTAAATCATTTGAGGTGGAGACCTACTGCCTTTGGCAAGTGATTGAAAGAACAAGCAGTTTGATGGTAGTGCTTAAGTAGATTTGTACAACCCTTAGGCTGTGAGTTGAAGTCTCGCTAGATACATTCGTGTATTAGTGTGTTGGTTGTTTCAACAAAATTCATGCTTCATGACTCCAATTAAGTGATGTACTTTTTTCCGAATTTTTGAACTGAAAAGTATTATTTTATTCGAGGGAAATACCCTGTTGGGATGGATCCAAATAGTTGCACATTTTATAGAACAGCAGATGGTTGATTGTTGTCGTCATACAGTGGTTGTTTCAGAAGTCTTTGCATGGGTCTATCAAGGCATTGGTCCTTCATAGCTAAAAGATGATTTTTTTTATATGCTATGCAGAGGTGGCAACAGAATTTGCAATTTCCCTCATCCAAACATTGGTGGCTAGTGATGCCAGAGTAATATCTGAACTTCATAATCTTGTTGATGCATTGGCAAAGGTTTGATCTTACTCTTTAATTCATATTAACTTTACTGGAGGCAGCATCCATTCTGATGAAAAATAACCTGCAGCTTGCAACAAGGCCTGATGCTCCTGAGGCTCTTCAACAGCTTGTTGAAATTGCTAGGAACCCAGCAGCTTCCTCTGGCTTTTCAGCTGGCAAGGATGATTTGATCAGGCAACCAAAAGACAAAAAGGTAACGTCACACTGTTGTTATTGAAGCTGTTGCTAGACAACATTCTGGGATCCTAACTTTCTTGTTTAATGGAACAGGTGGCTAACCATCCTGTAGCAAACAGGGACGACAGCACTGCTTTGGAATCTTCTGAACCAGATCCTGCTGGTTTCCATGAGCAGGTATATGAAGCCTGCTTACTAACTTTTCATCTCCATTATGGTTTCTGTGTGAAGGTTTTTGGTGCCTTGCTGGGATTGTATATGTATGTTTGCATTTGGTAATGAACAATAGCTTATAGTTCCATTATATTCAAATACATGATATCAAGTTCCTACTAACTAGGACTCTCTACCTCTTCTCTGATATGGTAAGCACTCGTTAGGCAGAACTCCGGCTTCATACTTGATTAGTTGTGTACCCGTGCAATGCGGCGGGAGTCGTGAATTTTAACGATTTTGAAGTTTCACTGGTTTTATTAGAGAAGATTTAACGATGATATAAGTTACACTTGGTCTTTACATATTAATACAATTTGGATAAATAAGAGTTATGGTTCCAATTACAATCTATCGATGAAAAAAGTTGTATGACAGTTTAAAATCCAATATATTTAAAATCCAACATATTTAAACGACTCCACAAATGTGTTTGATTTACACCAAGAGCAAAGAATCAAGAGATCGAGAGCGRGACCGAGAGTTCTAGAGCAATTGAATGAGAGAACTTTTAATAACTCATGGTGAATATCAGTTTGAATCTCACCTTGGGGGATGGGGAGAAGACATAGAGGTATGAGAGAGTGAAAGCATGAGTGAAAGGTGTCAAAATTATCTTGGGAACATGAAAAGAAAAAGTAATAATGTGCATTGGTAACTTGTGCTATATGTTATTTTAATTGTAGATTAAAAGATTTTAAGACTGAATGCATAAAGTAGTAGTACTTAATGCATTATGAGTTTTTTTAAGACTTTTAAGACTTTGTGCATAAATGTATAGTATTTTTTGCATTAAAAATTGTTTTTAAGACTTTTGATAAATCTGGTGTATAAGTTGTTATAGATAAGGTTCTCGAAATGATCTTAAAGAGAATCATGGTACCACATACCGGTTTTGAGAATTGAGGAGATAAATTGAAGATTTGTTTTTGAGAATTGAGGAGATAAAGATCCTTGAACATGCATCTCTTTTTTGTAACATTCACTTATCACTAAAACTCTGGTTGATGTGCTATAGCATGCACCTTCAGAAGGACGAACATGTATCTCATTTATACGAAATGATGGTCGAACATAATGATATGAATTTTTTCCAATGATTTACAGGTGAATGATACATTCTCTAGAATGAACTAAACTATTACTATTTTCTTTGACGGACTAAGAAGAGATGTCATAGGATACAAACTTGTTATAATTGAATTGTACATGTTTGGTCATTAGATGTTTATTTTTCGAAGCAAACAACCCGAATATAGGGTTCTAACTTTGCTAAAGTTGGAGATTGATATCAATTGTTCCCATCTCCAAAGGCAACAAATGTGAAACTATATAACATAAAATACTCAGGAAAGAAACCGACTATCTAAACAGATTGAAGCAGACAAATTGAATGGAAATTTACAACAATGATTGTGGTTTGGATTTCTCCTGCTCCTGGTGAAGTGTCACCTCTTCTTCTTACTCCCATTCTCATTACTAAAAGAAACATCCATGTGAAACTCTCAAGAATTTATAGAAGACTGCACCATGTAGTAGTAATCCTCAACACTGTCTTCATGGAGAGTTTTACTGCAAGTGGAACAACAAAAATCTGTTGTCTGAATGTGGCTACGAAGAGTCCCAGCAGACCCACAAGTGTTTTTGTAGATTGGGGCTTGTGTATAAACAACAAAAATCTGTTGTCTGAATGTGGCTATGAAGAGTCCCAGCAGACCCACAAGTGTTTTTGTAGATTGGGGCTTGTGTATAATGATTTTGTTTGCTTCATCCATTTTCCAACAAGGTTCTAGATAAAATCAGAAGTGGATAGCATGACCGCATAGCTACTTTATCACTTTTGTCGACTCCAGGGTCAAGAAATGGCCTGGCACTTGGTCCCATGGTGGTGGAAACAAAACCACATGGTTGGATCAAGCTGTAATCTAGAGATCTGCTGCTATTCACAAATATAGGTTTGGTTGACTGAATAAACTACTAAGGAGGAAAACTTGACTATATGGCATACCTTGGATGGGCATGTAGGCCTGGACTGATGGACAAATAACCATATGAACGCATAGCATGCCCTAGTTCTATCTTCTAACTAGAATTATTGTAGTCTTTAATATCTTTGAGTTGTCAGGGAATAGCTGGTCTTTTCAACTAAATAAATGTATGTATCTGACAGGTTTCTATGCTATTTGCTGAATGGTACCGGATATATGAACTCCCTGGTGTCAACGATGCAATATCTGCGCGTTTTGTTCTACAACTGCAGCAAAATGGGTTGTTGAAAGCAGATGATACATCTGACCGCTTTTTTCGCCGTCTCCTGGTTTGTTTTATAACTATGATCTCCCTGCTCTTCTTTAGCATCCAAAACACATGCACTTGCTCACAGAAACCTGTGTTTATCTTATCTATTTTTACCAGGATGTTGCTGTATCACACTGTATATCGTCTGAAGTGATCAATTCTAACTCTCTCCAATCCCATCAGCAAGCACAGTCATTATCTTTCCTTGCTATTGATATGTATGCATCACTGGTCTTTTCGATACTGAAGGTAGGGGACATTGACTCTGGCTTTTGAACTTCTACTTTATATATGCATTTTGATTATGCTTCTCATCATGACTTCAATTTTTTGTATTGCTAGTTCTCCCCTGTTGACCATGGATTAAGCAAGCTGTCACTTCTGTCGAAGGTTTGAATCATAAATCGTAACCGACTTTTTTTAATACACATTTCAGTAGTTGCATATGATGACTGGAAATTACTCCGTATTTTGTGCTACAGGTGTTAGCAGTGACTGTGAGATTCATTCAGAAGGATGCAGAGGAGAAGAAAACATCGTTCAATCCTAGGCCATATTTCAGGTTATTCATTGATTGGCTGCTTGACCTTAGCACCCTGGATCCTGTTTTTGAAGGCGCAAACTTTCAGGTATTTGCATTTTTCTATTGAACTTGTAAATGCATTTCATCTAAATTATCTTCTTTGTTAAGTTACTAATTTGCTTTGGGCTTGTACAGGTTTTGACAGCTCTAGCAACTTCTTTTCATGCCCTGCAGCCTCTGAAAGTTCCTGCATTCAGGTTAGTAAAATATTCTCTGTTTTGAGTTTATTGTAGTTGGTATTGGGTTAATCAGATTTAAGATGTTCATCAAAGTAATTATAAATATTTGGAGTCGATTTATCATGTCAAAAAGTTAGACGACCTGTGCTGACCTAGTGCTCTAGTAATCAATTGAGCTTCTAAGTGGAGTCTCACATTTATCTTTGCCATGCCATGCCCCTTTGAGCTTGAAATAGATGTGTAGGGTCAACTGATATGAAGTCACACATACTTGGATCATGTTTAATATACAGATTAGGACATGATTTGACATGTCTGACCATGTGTATTTTCTTCAGCCAGAATTAAATATTTAGAACTTCCATAAACTTCAGTAAGCTATTTTGTTAGTGTCATACATATGACCAAGATATCCTATGAAAAGCAATAAAGCCATCTGTATGAGTGTATTCTCATGTGTCAGTTGAAGTTCATGCAGGGAACATGGAACAACACTTTATAGTTTCCTACCGCACTCAAATATGTGCAGTGCACATACCAATATATATATATATATATATATATATATATATATATAGTTAAGATGCAAAATTAATTCCACAAAAATGTCATGAGGGAAGAAAAGTTATAGATAAGTTTCTGTTTTGGAATGCAATCTTAAACTAATAATGACCGACAACCATTTTCTTGTCTACGTTCATCTAATGTGGACAAATTGGTCTTCAGCTTTGTATGGCTTGAGCTAGTAAGTCACAGAAGTTTCATGCCGAAACTGCTCAGTGGAAATGCTCAGAAGGGGTGGCCATATTTCCAACGCTTGCTGGTAGACTTGTTCCAGTTCATGGAGCCTTTCTTGAGGAATGCTGAACTTGGGGAGCCGGTTTGCAATCTTCTACTGATAACTTTTCTCTTAGCATGCATACAGACTTCATCATCTTATTTTTATTTTTTTCTTGTTGCTCAGGTTCGTTTTCTGTACAAAGGCACACTCAGAGTGCTGTTGGTGTTGCTTCATGATTTTCCAGAGTTCCTTTGTGATTATCATTTCAGTTTCTGTGATATCATTCCTCCAAGCTGCATCCAGATGCGGAATATAGTACTCAGTGCGTTTCCACGCAACATGAGGCTACCTGACCCGTCCACTCCCAACTTGAAGGTCTCTGTCTTGTCTTAGTTGAGTATAGATATGCACAAGGCCTGGTCTTTTTCAGATAGCAAAAAAAATGCCCAGGCTTTTAGGGCTTTTTTGGTTGAAAAAAGAGTGACCTGATTGGGCTTTAAGGCCGGACCTGCACTCAGGCTTTTCAGGCTGGGCTTCAGGTGTCTCATCGTGATCCGAATTAATCCTTGATCTTTCTTTCAGATTGATCTGCTGGCTGAGATTAGTCAATCGCCCCGCATTCTTTCAGAGGTCGATGCAGCTTTGAAAGCCAAGCAAATGAAAAGTGATGTGGATGAGTATCTTAAGGTACAGACTTTTGTTTTATAATCGCAATTTTGAATCAAAGCTCTATGGTTGTTCAAAATACATGCGAGCTAGAAACGAGTAAAGATGAACCCTAATTCTGATCCTTTTCAGAATTTAAGTTGATTCATGTGTCTGTTCTTGTTTTTGTTCTAGTGGGTATTTAATTATAATTATTTATGCAGACGAGGCCACAAGGAACTTCATTTCTTTCTGAATTGAAGCAGAAACTACTTCTTTCACCAAATGAGGCTGCAAGAGCTGGAACACGATACAACGTGCCTTTGATGAACTCCCTTGTACTTTACGTTGGAATGCAGGTATATTTCCTCCTCTCTTTTCTGTATATCTTAGTCTCTTTTTTGGATTATTAGAAGAGTCGAGCGAAAAGTATGTGAAAGGAAGAAATATAGATATGCTAAAATTTGAAAGGTTCTGTATGAGTAAACGATAGCAATACAAATAGAAAGAGAGAAAAGCCTTCACTGCAAATTGTGTAGGTTTGATTTTGAAAAATTTCTTCAAATAACTGTTGATATCGTTTAAAGCCATGAATAGCTTGAGTAGAAAGTTGTCTTACGATGAAAGCATGATGGTGCAGGCGATCCAGCAGCTGCAGGCAAGAACTCCTCATGGACAGTCAATGGCAAGTAATGCTTCACTGGCTATCTTCTTGGTGGGTGCTGCTTTAGATATCTTTCAAACGCTAATACTGGAGCTAGAGACGGAAGGACGTTACCTCTTTTTGAACGCCGTTGCAAACCAACTGCGCTATCCCAACAACCACACACATTACTTTTCCTTCATCCTTCTTTACTTGTTCTCCGAATCGAACCAGGTGAGTTCAATCATACGTTTCTTACTTGTCTATGCAAAGATTATGAAATCGTGAAAACCATGTATTGTTTCACAAACAAATACATGTGAACACATTGTAAAACAAATATATGTTCAATCAAATACCTTAGGGTAAAATTCACATGGTTCTCCCCAGATTTACGGTTGTCATTTTGATTATTCCCTTATATCTATGTGTGTGTACAAAGTATAGTAATGGGTGAGTGAATATGAACTGTATGCAGGAAGCAATCCAGGAACAGATCACGAGAGTTCTATTGGAGCGATTGATCGTTAACCGACCACACCCTTGGGGACTTCTAATCACCTTCATTGAGCTAATTAAGGTAAAATCAACCATGTGATGAAAATGTCGAGTTGATTCATACATATAATTAACCTGTTATATTATATTTATGATGCAGAACCCTAGGTACAACTTCTGGAGCCGATCTTTCACAAGGTGTGCTCCAGAGATCGAGAAACTGTTTGAGTCGGTTTCAAGATCGTGTGGCGGCCCAAAACCCGTGGATGACAATGTGGTTGCTGATACCATGCACTAGTTGTTTAAATTTGTGTTGATGTAAATAGATAGCAAGTATGTTTTGAGGCCAATTACTAGTGTTTTAGACATCCAACACTTTCTATTTCTGCATATTATTCTTCCTCTTTGAGGGAATATTTGTTTTTACCAAATACCTTTTTGTAAGCCTGTGTACATGCTCAGCTACTTGTATGCTTATTTAAACATGCCTCTTTTATCTTTTGAAAATTTAGCTTCTTATGGTATAAGATTTGGTGCTTAAGGATCGTGTTAGAAGTGTAATAAGAGATCTGGACCCTTGATCGCTTTTAATTTCAAATCCATCTATGAATTTCGCGTTTGATATGGAAATTGATCTGGTGAATTTTGGTACATCTTTTCTCGGTGCATCTCATCCTAATGTGCATCCAAGGATGGAGATCTCTTTTACGCTTCTCAGAGAATTATAGAGGATATTAAGATGTTTAACGAAAATATAGAACTTCAGGACACCCACAAAGGAACTTCTATGCCCCATACCGGTTAACTAATTACTCATTATTTTTATCGGGTGAGACATGCTTACTCGGTAAGAGATGATGGTTTTTATTAGAAATTTTATCGTGTACTTTTGCTAACCAAAAATCTTATCCATCAAATGAGGATGGTAACACTTACCCGATAAGAGATGCTTATATTATGTTATTTTAATTATCGATAATCTTACATGGTTAAGTAACTGATGATGGTGATTTTTATCTGATAAACACTTACCCAATTTGTGTTTGTAATTGTTTCTAACATGTATATCTATATGGATGAACTTGGATGCTTATTGATGTTGAAGTCCATCTACTTTGATAAGGGCTCGTTTGTTAATAGTTTAATTAGCTTTAATGAGACTTACAACCTACTGTTAACTATATATGATTGTTTGATAATGGCTTAATAATATAGAAAATGACTTATTCAATAAGCTTTTAGGAGTGAATTTTATGCAAAGTGACAAGTTTTTATTGTTACAAACATGTTTCTCCAAATTAAAAGAACACTCTTTCTATCTATAAAAAACCTTCCAAAATAGAATATTTTCAATATATGCAGACATATTAATCTATCCAGACAGTTTTATACATATAAGAATTTGAAAAACCAATCAAAAGTTTGAGAGGCATATTCTAACTATTTTCTTTTTTAACTCATACTAATTTACACAGTTTTAAGCATTTGTTTTCCATTTTGATTTATTTGGTGAGATTTTTTTAATTCCATTTATTTATTTTATATTTTATTGTTTTAATCTTTTTTTTTTTTTTTTGATTTAAATGATAAGCAGAAAACTTAGGTAAGAAGTGGGTTAAATATTACCTAAAAAATTAGATGTAATATTAAATAGACACTTCATTTCTGATGCTTCCATTGCATAAGTTGATGCCATAAATTTCAACAACAAAAACAATAAAAACTTCAACAACAAAAATATTTACAACTCTATTTTTACCATCTACTTTTTTATTATTTATTATTATTACGTCGTCCAACCGTTTTTTAAAGGTTTTCTTCCTTCAATTTCCGTAACTTAAAACACATATAAATGTTTTATTTTACGGGGTTTTTAATTAAAACTTAAAAAAAGACGGTTGAAAACAACAAAATTAGTGTTATATATGCGTTGTGATGAAAATTTATACGCACCCACAGGTAACAAGTAATACATACACACACCGTTGGAACTCAATAAATGTATCCAATTCATAAAATACCCTTCAATTTCTCACTTTTATTTATACAATATGTTTCATTGTTCAAAATATTTGAGCAAAAGTTGATTAACGACAACCCTAACCGGCTCCATCTAGCCCTAGACAGGATCCGCCTTCAAGTACACTAATCAGAGGGGCCATTTTTTGGCTCACTCAGCCAGGGGATCGAGATCGAAGCCTGACCTGTCTTGTATTTGGACAAAGTCACTGCACCACTTTATTAACTGAGGTACACGAATTGTTCAATATGTTTGTATATTGAAGATGACATTTATTTCAACAAAAACGAAAAAGAAAAAAAAATGAGTCATTTTTAAGGAGTCTTCGTATATCATTCATGTATATGTAATATATGATGGGATTAATTTATAATTTACATGACGTTTTATATGAGTAATCAAAAATATATTATCTTATGATTTTAGTGAACTATTTGACATGTTATTCTGAGTTGGACCGACCAAAAATATTATTTCGAGTAGACTGTTAAATAATTGAATATTAATTAGTAAAGTTTCAACTGTATATTAATGTGGAAACTTAGAAAGAATTAAATGCCTAAATTTGTGACGACAACCTGGAATGGATGAACAGATTGTCCAAAAAAAATCAGTTCTTTAACAAATACCATTCACAAATTAAGAGTATACTAAAAGATATGAGGTTACGACTGATGAAAAGGGTTTGTAACTGGTAATCCTCAAACCAACTTAGAGCGTCATGTCTAAAATATATCATGTGTGAGACAAATTAGATACACCAATAGCTAGTGCGGCAATAATCATTCTTGTTTGCCTTTGACATGTAGTTCTATTGACAAAAGACTTTGCAACAGTAATTAATCTCGAGCCCCACCGTTTACCTCAGTTGCTAAGTGAAACCGATTGAAATTATCGGTAATCGGCTTTATCTAGATAACCATACTATATAATTGAAATTATATAATTATTTTTTATTATATAATTATTTTTATTATATAATTAGATTGGGTCGTATCATTTTAATGAAGAACCGGTTCATACTTATGAACCTTTTCGCTTCCACATTGGTATCTGTCGCTTCCTCCTAACAGTACCGTAAAGGTTTATGAACCGATCCACCAAGTTTAATAACCTCTTTAAATAATAATTTGTAAAAAACGAATAATATCTTCGGGTAATTTTTGATTCCACATACATCTCCCGGTCATTAGCATGTTTTTTGACGGAGAATTTCATTTCAAGTGAATCATACATCGTCAATAAACAGAGAGGATATTAAATACATAAAGTGAGTAACATCTTTAATTAATGTGACATATTTTATAACCGTGGGTCCAAATTGAGACTTATGAATAAATTAAACATTTAGGGGGGGGGGGGGTATTAGAGCATTGGTAGCAAAAATACACACACGTAAATGTGGCACAATAATGGTGCAAGTATATATCATTATTGAGTTTGCTTCCAAGTAATAAAGTGGTAAAAATACCGAGATCGTATCCACAGCGAGTGGACTTGAAAGTTTCGAGTAGTAAGTTGTGAATACAATGATTTCAATTAGAGCAGAAGAAAATATATACGAGAGAGTTTGGTGTTTTTAACAATGAAATCTAAATAAGTAACTAAAATTAGGTATGGGTATAAGTTTCATTTAAGACAATTGTAGTAACAAAATGATTAGAAACTTTATGTCACAAAAACGTCTATAAAGATCCCAATCTCTCGAAAGTGAATCTTTATAGACCGTGCTCACAAAGTCACCACTATTGCTGATTCTTAATCTTGCCGATTTAGCTAAGTTGACTAAAAATATCAAGTCCGATTAGTATAAAGATTTATACCCAAATCCCTTTATGATATAAATCTCGACCAAAGTTTGAACCTTAGCAAATCATGCAAAACCCGTATCTCTATATGATTATCAAAGACTTTCTCAAATCTTTGTGCATCATTTAAGCCGTATTTTGAATTCGTACATTTCTGGGTCTAAGATCTAATATAAACACTTCAAAATGATCAACCTATCCGCGTTGAGTTTAAATCCCGACTCAAATGACCAAGCTTAAGAGTTTGCATTGATGGCAACACCCAAGTGTTACCTACTAGTCTTAAGTTCGACTCACACTCACACCCAAGAGGTGCTTAGCTAATAAGTAAAATAAAGAGCATGGTAGAAAAAAAAATACTTAAAAAATTACTTGCATTAAAAATAAAATAAAAACAGTGCCCACAATCTGCTGAAAATTAAAGACTTCAATTTAAATTACATTTACAACTATAAAATCTAAAAACAAAGTGTTGGAACTTCTACATTGCTGGAGCTCTCCTTTAATGCTTCACCAAGGCCTCTTATTTATAGGTGGACGAATGTTGGTCTGTGCCCCATGGATGCAAATATTTTTTAATCTTTTAGTACAAAAAGTGTTTGCTATTCGTTTCATCCTCTAGAAATCTTCATATCTTTTTGTCATCTCCAGATCTTTAAGAAATCTTCAAACCACTGTTCCTAATGACCAGATAATAGAACAACACGGTTTTGTCCAAAAGAAGCTCATCATTGGCCACAGTAGGCACACAGTGGAGACACATTTTCAATACTTAACCAAATATGACGTGTCTAACGATTAAAACACAAAATTTTATCGTCAACAGCTCCAAATAAAAACAAATAAATAAATAAAATGAAGAAACATGAACACGTAAAGAGGAAAAAAAACTAAAACGGGAATAAAAAACTCACACAAATGACGTGTAAATACCGCTCAAAATGAGAGTTATCAAACATCTATAACAGATTCTTTAAAATGGAGATTCTGAACAATTTTTTTTACTCGGGTTCTCCAAGAGAGAGATATATATGTGAAATTCTCCAAAAATTAAAAATGATTACCATGAATGAGAAATAATTTCTTTTATTATATTCACACAAACAAGAAACATTGAAATTAAGTATTTAAGAAAAAATAAATATTAGTTTATTAAATATATGAAATATCTTAGTAATATTATAATCTTCTAAAACAAAGAGCATCAGAATTTTAATTCTATATTTTAAAAAATTGATTAAAAATGCTCTATTAAAAGAAGTTATAGATGATTAATATATATATATATATATAGAGAGAGAGAGGTTGGTTATTATACAACTCTTGACATTTGTGCAACCAATACAACCCAATCTCAACCGTCCATTTCATTTGATGAATATGTTATTTCATAAAAGTTTTGATTGTTTCCTAATATAAGGTATTAATCATAATTAATGAACTCTATTCATATTCCATAAATATTCAAATCATAATAAATGAACTCTCATCATTTCTATAAATATCTCAATTAATTGGGTTGCAAGGGTTGTACAAATACACAAGGTTGTAAAAGAAATATACCCTATATATATATATATATATATATATATATATATAAGCGATCAAATGAAAATCACTTCAATTTGTAAAAACCGTAAAAACTACTATCATCCATCGTTAATCTTATGAAATTTTTTCATGAAATTGTTAATCTTGTGAAACTGTTTCATATAATACTTTTTTTGATTAAGTTGTTTCATATGTGGTTATGAAATTGTTTCATATACTACTTAATGAAATTTTAATGAATTTTTAATGAAACTGTTTCATGTATTTCTCTAAATTAAAATAATGAAGATGATAATATCCATGATT